AAGCTATTGTTAGTTAAAGTTTCAAAAAAATTTACTTAGAAAAAATTTGCTTGATTTCTATTGACTCAACTCCATATACTAATACAGTAATACTAAAAAGCCTAATTCACTGTATTGAATATAGTTCGTCTCTACAAATTTCCTAGTTCGCACTTTCAAAAAGACATTAGCAATACAAAAAACTCTTATCACCAAAAGAATGGAATTATTCCAATTATTCATAATTATACCAATAATTTGTCTCCAAGCTCTCCGGTTATTTCTAATCTAATCCTCAAAAACTCTTGTCAACCCGTTATCAATGGCTCATCTATATTTCGAAGCTTATCTACTAAATCAAAATATATTGATATGATACCACCACCTAATAAACGCATGAAGGATTTGATAGCTTTAGGAGGGGCTATATTAACCTTTTTTTTTGTTAATCCGATTTTGCATTTTGTGATAAGTGGAGCTCTTGGTTTTGGGGTTTATAAATTAGTAAAAAGGACTTTGAATCGTATTTGGCCACCCAGACAAATATTATATTCTCCAACGATATCGATGAACGAACATGAGCAGTTAAGTCAAGTGGAAAAAACATTTTGGAGGCATATATTTCCCTTTGTTCGTGGAACAACTAACGGAATAAAAAGTTCAAAAGAAGAAATTGATGACATATATTCGTTTTCAATTAAAAAGGTTCAAGCAGCATACAACAATAACAGAGATATTAGATTTTTATTTGGAGGATACAGCGATTCTTCAATGATTAAATTTACAAAACCTCGATCTGTTATTTCAGAAACTATAGCAATTTCGGATTCTCATGGAAATTATCAAAAAATTCATGGTGTCACAATTGAATATATTGCAACTGGAATGAGTGGTGAAAGTGCATTTGTCAAAGCTACAGGATATTCGAATAAGAATAATGATGTGGTATTTAAGGAAATTCAATTACTTTTGCCACATACTGGTCAAACAATTAATATTCCTTTACAAGATACTACTAACGATTTCGAATATAATAAGTATGGGCCAAATGTTATGGAAGCTGAATATCGTGATATTAAAGAATAAGATTAAAAGCTCAGTAATATTATAGTAAATTCAAGATCGAATCATTAGCAATGATTGTATTGATTTGATTATTGGATAAATTCTTTTCAATTTCATATACTGTACTGTATACATATCTAATATATATTTTAACATTATTATTATTATTATTATTTCGAGAAATTCGTTTTTGTCATTTGGAAATCACAAACACACGTCCACTTTGAAAAAGAAAATGCGTCTTTATTATATAATTGCTATTCACCCTATTATTTATGTAGAGGTATGTATAATCTTGCAATTTAAAATAACAGTATTAATGATAATAAATAATAATAATGATGATGATGATGATGAAATAAATATCACAGTCCAACAAATTTCGTATGCAGGTTACGTGCCATTTTTCTTTATCGACATTAGAGCAGTGTTGTATATTTTACCGATTTTACCTTCCCGATCTTTTTGTCATGTTCTGTCAATATTCCAATTATTATAAAAATTATATGAAAAAAAACATAAATATTCATCAATTCCAATCTCTAATTTTTCTTTTGATATTCTCTCGTAAACGTATAAAAGCCAACATTAAAATTGTTAGATTTTTCTATTTTGTAACGGTCTTCATTTTTTGATTATTTATAAACAATTGTTAACAGCTTTTTCAAAGATTTAAAGTGCAAGAAATAAAAAAAAAAAGAATTTATATCAAATAAAATAATATATATATATATAATTAAACTAAAGATCTTAATTTATTATTAATTTAGTTAAATTTGACATAAGTTATATTCCAATTAGGGTTCTGCAACCCGGCATTTGCCCATGTCCCGCAAAAAATTTTAGGCCAGAGGCACAAAAATAGGCACAGACATTTAGTGACTAGCCTTAAAAGTACCTGGCTATAATATGCCCAACAGGTACTTTGTGTTTGGCTTTAAAAGTGCTAAACACTTCTGTGCCAACAGGCATTTTGTGCCTGGCTTAAAAGTGCCTAGCACTTCTGTGCTCACATGACACATTTGCCTAGAAGCATTCTGTGCTTGGCTTAAAATTGTCAAACACTTCTGTGACTATAGACGCTTTGTGCCTGACTCAATAATGCTTGCACAACCTAGTACAAATTTTTCTGATGCGAGTCTCAAAGCCTGATACCTTCAGAATAGAATTTTTTAATGCCTATAGATACAGGCATGCCATAGGCACTAGTGCCTGGCATCGTGCCTAATGTGCCTGGCATGGGCATTTGCAGAACCCTAATTACAATTATATATAAATATTAAAAGCTAATCATTAAACTTATATATTAAATTTAAACATATAATATAATATATTTAAAAAAAAAATGTTTTAACCTATTTTTTCTTTACTATCTATAATATAAATATTAATAATAATTATAATACACTAGTAAAATCATATATGCATGAATAATTCTCAAATATCAACAACTATACAGTTATATGCAAAAAAATAAATACAAATACAATTAATATTAGAGTTTTTAAATTTTATTTTCTAATAAGATAAGATAGCCTTAACATTCAACATATCTAAAGAAGTTACCTAGCATTGTTTTGATATTTAATCTATAAAATTAAAACTCTAATCCTGTGGTACAACACCTTGATTTTCCGTTAAACTATTTTCTACTATGTAAGTATAAGGACCAGATTTTCGTCTTTCTGTGGTCTCATAAGCAATAAAAAGATCACAACGTGGGCAATGTAATCGATATTGTTTTTCATATCCATCAGCTCTTTAAAAATAAAAATTATTAAAATTATTAAAAATGGCAAAAATTACAGTCAAAACCTCTATAAATGCACATCCACTATAAGTGCATCCTTAAGCTTGGACCATAGTACTAAATGACATCCGCTATATTCTGCACATGTATAAAATTTTTTTAACTTCACTTATGTAAATAATCTTTCTAAATACGATAATAGTTATTATATATTTTAAGTCAATTTTTTTTTACTAAGTTAAATGATCTGACGTTCTAAATTATTCGCAATAATATATTTTTAAGATTTACTTCTAATGAAAAAATTTAACTTTTTTCACTCGAAATTAAAATCGTAATAATTAAAAATCGTAAAAAAAAATTCAGGATAAGTAAAATATGTTCTTACGAATAACTTATAACGTCAACATCATTTAACTTTATTAAAAATTGACTTAATGATCATAGTTTAACAAAAAAAAAAGTTTTATCGTTATTGTCTCGTTTATGGATGCACTTAAAGAGAAATTTAACTGTACAATAAATTTAATGAAACGTACCTTTTCAGAATAATTGGAGTTTCCGATTCAACTGCATTTAACTTATATACTCGCTTGCCATTTGCAATAATATGAGCTCTATCTGTCGTACGACGAGGCAACTTATCTAGTCGAGCATCTTTTTAGAGAACATTTTATTTTTAATTAATATTTTGAAATGAAAATATAAAAAGAAGATATAAATTAGCACCTATAACCAAAATAAATTCACTACATAGACAGTAGTAAACATGAAGATGTTGTTCCGGGCGTGAATTTGTCTGTTCTGAGGAAGAGATTATAGAACTTGAAACAATTTTTGGCATGGTTATTTTTAGTTTAAAATAATAAAAAGAGCTATATATATTGGTTAAGTAATCTCACGTGATAATAAATTTATATATATATATCGATATTGAAATGAACAATCGTAAATATAATGGTGTGTACAAAGTGTAAGTTTTGTTCCATACTTTTTTTCCTCGTCATAACCCTAAAAATAATACTATTATAAATTGATCTTTATTCAGGTGAAAAGAAATTGGCTAAAGTTATTTGTCCGGACAAATGGAAAGAAGGATCAAGAAATGTAGCAGGTACTGTACATATGATCTTTTTATAATTCCCATTAATTATATATACTTTTTTTCAACTAATATATTTAATAAAGTTGGTTCAGACAGAAAACTTCATGAGAATAAATTATTAAGTAAGCCTGGAAAAAGTCGGTAAGTATATCATTTGGCATTTACTCGATATTTTAACATTTCTAATCATTTCTTATTGAAAGGTTTAAACCATATGAAAATAAGTGCAAAGTTTGCAAATCTCGGGTGCATCAAGAGCATGCGCATTATTGCCAAAGTAAAATTTATTATATTTAATAAAGTGGATGAAATCATTTTTTTTTATATATATAAGTACCTAATTACATTAATCTATATATCATAGGTTGTGCTTATAAACAAGGAATATGCGCTATGTGTGGAAAACAGATTCTCGATACAACAATGTATAAGCAAAGTGCCAAATGAAACTTAAGTTACCTTAGCAGGAACTTTCTTTGCAGCACCTTTAATAGCGACGAATTCTTCCATGATCTCTGCTGCTTCTTCATACATAATCTTGATAATCAGTAACAGTCATAGCCGCTATCATTTCATTCTGTTTAGTCTGTATCCTTTTGATTCAATTTCTAAAAGAGATTTAGTTAGAGATGGCAAATGTTTTAAAACGAGATTTTAAAAGTAATGCTTGTTTGATTTTAATACGTTTTTTAATATATAATTACATAATCATTTTATCATTTAAACAGTACAATTACTAAAAAAAAAAAAAAAAAACTGAACATATTTATATAGCATCTCTTTATCTGCTATATTTCAATATACTAGAGTAATTTAACGATAGAAAAAAACATTTTTAGTGCATTTTTTTAACTCTTCATTGTGTTTTACATGTAATATAATGATATAGACAATAAATTAAAATATTATCGTTTTCATTATCGTTATGACTTTAAGTTCTCAATCAAAGAAATGCAGGAGCTTGAAATTAAGGATGTAAACCAAACTATTTGTGACGGCCTAAACTGACAATTAGTATCGCACTAGGTATTTACGACTTTTTACTTATTATCAAAACCATGCGAAACTAATTTTCACATAGTTTGGGCCATCCCAAATAGTTTAGTTTACATCCCTACTTGAAATTAACCAATCAATGCCGTAATTTTAGCTTCAGTTAAATTTCATCAAACTTTTTAAACAATAGTTTTTTTTACTATCCCTAGATTTATGTTTAGCCTTAGTGGACTGAATCCAATTTTTAATTTATGCCAAGAAATTTGCTATTTTTTCAAATGACCTAGATCATTTGGTATATAAAACTTATATTACGATCACGTGATTAGGTCATTTCAAAGGTTAACAAAATTCGAATAAATATTTTCTAGAGTGGACTAATTAAAGATTCTTCAAAACTTAAATATCTCAGATTTGCACTAAAGCTATTAAATGGTTGAGGTTCAGTAAAGGGTGGTGGTGCCTCAATTTAAATGTAATATTTTGTTCAGAATTTTAGCTCATGGTTAAATTTTCTACCGGCAGTATATAGTAGTCATATGATTATAAGCTATATTAACATATTTGTATTAACTTGGTTAATAATTAAAAAAGTTCTGGATTTATATTTAGTTTTATTATTTAGAAGTTTTATTTTAATACCCTAACTGTCACTTAAATCAGCAAATTCTTGCAGTACTTCAAACCACTTTTTGTCGTTCCTTTCGTTAATTATTTTGTTTCTTTCGATTAGTTTTTCTTCGTCAATTTCCATATCAGAATCATCAATGAACTCTGCGGATTTAATTTTCCTGGGAAATTCTTCTTCACTTAAAGAATCCGACTCATTAGTTTGATCGGATAATATTTCGCAATCTTCCAGGTGCTCTAATGTTGGTTCGTCATTTTCCTTTCTTTTTAATTTCGATTCTGATATGTCTTTCTTCCTTCTTTTTGACTTTGGTTCTTCTATGGCTGTCTCATCAAGTTCATCCGATGAATTTAATTTTTCGCTAGAGACGTCGGATCTTTTCTTTGATCTATAAAGTTTAAAATACAATATATATGTAAACAAAATTTTGGGTTATAAATTTAAAAAGATTAAAGTATATAAAATAAATTTCCATTATATTTACCGCGACTTTATTGTTTAACATTTATAAATTAGTTTAATAAAATAATCATGCTATAAATCCAATAATATAATAAAAGAATAACAAACCTTTTTTATTATTGATAACCTATCAGAGTAATCGTATCCATATTTCAAGCATTTCCAATTCTGTGCGGTTTTGGGACAAAAAACCTATAAATTAATTTATTAAATTTTAAATTTTGTATAACTGTTTCAAGATATTTAATGGTTGTTAATCAGACCTCGCAGTACATTAAATCGTTCTTCTCAGCATAATCAAAAAAACTTTCTGATATAAGTCTAATAAAATCTTTGAATTCTTTTTGCGAAGATGTCAGTGTTTGTAATCCTTCGAAATAGATTGATATACGATTCAAAAGTTCCAAAATGGAGAGCTATGGCCAAGAATTGATTTAATGTCATAATGAATATGAAAATAATAATAATAATTGTAATGCACTAACCTTAAAAAAGATAGTATCAGCTGAACAACGAACAATGATTCGATGAAATGCCGTGGTTATATGGTAGAGACTTTCAGAGTCGATTGTCTCGTAATATTCTAACAAGGAGCAATATGTCGATATTATGGATTCATTAACAAAACACTGTTTTTATCAATTAAAATTTATTAATACTATTAAAGATGTTAATTTTACTGCTTTTATTAAAAACAATACCATTTGATATTCTTCAAAAACAAGTTTGTGTTGTTTAGAGTTTTCCCTATTTACTTTAACATATTCTATAACTTCATCATAATCATCTGTATCTTGGTATTTTTCCTCCATTTCAAAACTTGTTCCTAATTAAAAGTTTTATTTCAATATTATAAAATTTATAACATCACAAATTATATTAAACACTGTTGTGAATTAAAAGTTTACACACTCGGCCTTGTTCTTGAAATTTCTTCAATCTCGAATGTGGTTTCTGAGCAACTTTCAAGCCTCTCCAAAAGAACATGGATGGTGGCAATTAAACTTTGTAGATAACTTTAATAGATTAACGAACCATGAAGTTATTATTAGTCCTTGATATTCAGATGAATAGGATGCCAAATAATTACTTGCCCAAATGATTGCTCTTTAAATTCTCTAACAAGTAACATCATCATTCCCAAATTTTCTTCCTCGTAGTAAATTTTATTAAGTATATATTCTGCTTTGTAACGCACAGGTCTATCGTCGAATCTTTTCATTGCTTGTGCAGTTAATAACTACATTAATTCAAAATTTAATTAGTATCAGACATTCATAATTATACCATTAAATATTGTTTAGATATAGCAAATATTACCATTTGTTTCAAGCAATCTAATCCAAAATGTAAATCTGACCATCGCTATAGGCAAAATTTAGTAATTAAATGCAACAAATCGTAGGCGCGTAGAAAATATAATTAGTTCCCAATATATTAACAAACCTTTTCCTTTCTAAAAACCGAGATCTTTTCAAACACAAATAGGAATCCTTCATAGTCCATGATAGCGCAGACGAGCTCAAAATTGTAATATGGATCTTCAAGCCCCAATTCTTCTGCCTCTGTGGAGAACGTACTACATTGTAAAAGATTTCGAAATTCTAGGAAAAACCACACTATATAGAAAAAGTGAACTGATTGTTGAGGTCGGTCATCTTGCAAAGATTCGAATTTTTTTCTCACAGAAACAATCAATGCTAAGACAAAAATTTTAGAATCAGCATTGTAGAATGGTTTTTTTAATCAAATGTGCTGAATTATATACCATTAAACGTTTTTGTAAAGAACCGAACCGCAGTTGATTTTAAACATCGATGTGCTTCTTGATCATGAATAATAGAGTTTCTTCTTTTTTTGTCGAGCTCATCCTAATGATAAACATTTGATTAAAACTAATACATTTATACATAGATTTAAATTAAAATCCTCTACATACTGAAAGCAATGTTTTCTGATATTTTTTCTTTTTGAGACTATCCAAAACTTTTGGCCCATTTCCTTGCACTCCATCTCGTTTGTGAATAGTTAAATCCTTTCCCTATGAAAAATTGGGACATCAATTTCATAAATTCATTTTTAGGATTATTAATTTTAAAAAAAAAGCATAAATACTGGTGGCACTTTAATCCAAACAGATCCATTATATCGAGTGTCTTTATTTTGATTTTTAGATTTTTTAATTAGTTCTTCCTCTAATAATTTTTCTGCTCTTATTTTTGCTTCCTAAGATCCGAAATAACGTGGTATATTATTATGAACATTAAACTATTCAAACATAATTAACCTTTATACAAGTATAATAACCTCTTTGGGATCTTTCAGTAAGAACTGTGGTACCACGTCATAAAAGACATGATAAAATATCTCTTGAATTAACATATCCCATTGTGGCAATTCTTTATGATCATAAACAAGTTTAAAAAGAGTCCCAAAAATCCCTTCTTTTTCGTACAAAATAATTAATTTATTCTATGAACACGTAAATTATAGAGTTATAATTATGTATTGCCCACGGAAAAAACCTTTTATATGATAACAATTAAAGTCATAAACCTGTAAAGTAGTTCTCGGGATGTTGTGATCTTCTAGGTCTTTAATAGCTATCAAATTTCGGAATAAATGCAGCAGAAGACGTATATTCGTGTTGTCCTTTTGTGTACGTTCACTATTTTAATTAAAAAATAAATTGAATATTATTAAATAAACTGACAAAAAATACAATAAATTTAAGAATTATAGCTATACCGTTTTTCCATTGATAGAAACGATTTCAGGAAATCATGTATTATCCTTAGCGTTTCAGGGTTTTGTACAAATATTGCTTTATAATCAAATTGCGATTTTACACGTTCCTTCGTCGCACGGTCAATTTGTGAAATATCAATATCATCTTCATCCAAAATATCAATTTCAGGTGCTAAATCAAGTGGCCATGTCATATGAACTATTATCTCGACTAGTAAATTGAAAATATGAACATTGGTGTTAATGAAGAATTCCAGTGTTTCAAACTATTTTTTAATATTGTCACGCAAATCATTAAAATACGTCAAAATGCAGCCGAACCCACTAAAGTAATAAATTATCAAAATTCGATGAATTAAACTTACTGCAAACCAATGTTAAATTGCTTTGTGTACTATCACTAGGGTCACTATTTATCATGATTATAGGAATCAAATCCTTTTCTAAAACCTTTAACCGCCAAAATTCGCAATACACTTCAAGAGCTGTGCGATCCTCATATCGAAGGATTTCTTTCATATCTTTGAGACAACCTTTCAAAATTCAAATTTTAAATTAATAAATCATGAATTTTTAACGTGAATTAACGCGTATATACACGTTCCCAAACATAATATGTCGGTGTAAGTAGCCCTAATAGTGTATAACGCGAGATATACCTAAGCATTCATCTCCTAAATAATACTTCTTAGAGATCTTATTATTAGGTCCTATAACTCGTTCATACCCTCCAAGCGAATTACAAATGCTGAAAATTTGTTCTGACAACGGCAGCTCTTCCTCAGCAATTATATCTTCTTCCATAACTATAGTCTTCTGAACATTAAACTGTATTAAACTGTAAAAAAAAAAAAAAATCGTAATTATTCTCCTCTGACAATACGAATCAATTTCCAAAATTCCGGTCGGAATCCATCAAGTCACGTTTAGCTGGCCAGCATTATGCTATACACTGAATTTTTCTTATCAAAGCACAGAATTTTTAGAATTTGTCTTAACCACCGCAGAAAATCATCGTCCGTCAACGGACTTAATTCGGATCCGGATCAGGGACCCATGATTTTGCAAGGTTTCGAATCTATTGTGAGGGGCGGATTTGGAGCTACCGGGTCCCTCAGAAAGGTCTAATGATGCAGACATTTAAAATCTTGAGGGTAACTACCCCGGCAAAAAAATTACGGCGATACGGCACATTTGCCGTATAAGTAGAAGTGCCGCATGCCGTATAAATGCCATAAGTAGTATAAATGTCGTATGCCGTATAAATAACCACAAAATTGACCCGGCAAGTAGAGTTGTTATAAGGCCACGCCAAGTTAAAACTATGTTTAACATAACCCCCCCCCCCCCCCTCTTTTGAGCCTCAAATAGAGGGGGTAATAAACATCACTTAATATAAAAATCATATTAACAGTTCAAAAAAATTTTTCTTTAGCCAATCAAAATCTCATGTTTTTTTTACTCCCTCCCTCCTATTTAGAGTTGCAGATCTTTATTAGTGTTATGTTAAACATAGGATCAAATTGGAACGGCCTAACTTACAAAATTTTTGAAACTTACGTAAGTTTACTTTTAACTTATATAAGTTGTATGTAAGTTACCTTGTTCTTTTTTATCTTCTTCGTAATCTTTCAGAGTACTCTTTACAAATTTTTTAAACCCTTGCACGTCTTTTATGTTCATTAACATTCTACTTCGAATCTTTTTAGAGTCATCTAGCTTCTGGCCTCTTGACTTAATGCTAACCATACTTATTAATGCTGGCCTGCTTTAATCTTAACTTACAAATAACTTACACAGGTAACGTAACTTATAATGTAACTTATATTGTAAATTACGTTGTCAGATAAGTTATAACAACCCTAGTTGTCAGTTACTAACCGTAACCCTAAGAAATCAGCACATGAAATTTTGGTCTGCATTATGCTAATACAGGCTGGCTTGGTTGATTATTAGATCATCATTTGTCAGTTTTGTCACCTTTCATTAGTTTTGTTACCTTTTGCTGGTTTTGCTACTTTTTACCAGTTTTATTATTTCATCATTTTAAAAATTTTTTGTAAAACCTCTAGGTTTTGTATAACAACTATAGTCCTATGATATCTAATGTTGATTTGATTTTCTAGAGAAATTTTTTAGATATACAACATATTACATTACTTATAGCATACTATATCATGGCAATATAGCTTTAGGGTAGTATGATCTCTATGTCATAGTTGTAATGTTACAAGTAGTTACTATCTTAAGAAATGTCTGCATTATTAGAAAGGTTATTTCATATAAAGTAATTGAACCTAGCTACACAAAAAATACACAGATGATTCTTGATTTTGATTGGCTAATGGCTGTAGATTTATAAAATTTTGGTCTACATTATATAATTGTTTATTCAATTCTGACTGGAATTAATTTTTTAACTTTTTCATTTTAAAAATATAAATTTTTAAAGAAATAGACTCACATTATGTTAAAAGTAACTTAGAAACAATTTTTATTTAATACGTAGCAATGATTTCATTAGTAAAATTTTGAGTAATTCTGGCAAAAATTTTTAATCATCGCTTTTAGCTAATTAAAATTGAGGATCATTTGTGTATTTTTGTGTAGCAGCTAGATTCAATTATAAAGTACTAATTTACTTAAGTATTGTTATATTTCTGTTTATTGCATAATTTATTTGTACTTATAGTACCTTCTAGAACTATAAAATCTTTTGATATTCAAAATATAGGTGAATTTTTGCAATATCTATCAGAATATGATTCATACTTTGCAGTAATCTAGTTATTATCTTAAAGTACTTTAGAGTATTTACATAGTGATAGTGAAATTAAAGTACTTTAAAGTATTACATAGTGAAAATTAGAAAATAACAAGTTGCTACTCTACAATTCAGTATTCGTATAATCTTAGAATAGAAAAGGTATAGTAAATTTAATGAACAGTTTTATGAGATTCAGTTATTCTATAGTGTACTGAAACTATTTACTAGTAATTATTTATTTTATAATATGTTAGGTCAAAAGATTTAGATATTAGATTTTCTTTAGTATAAGTAAGCAAACTCTGCTAAACTCCACTAATTATATTAAATACTTAATGATTACTAATAATTAGCATAGTTTATTTTTATATTGCCCATCTATACTAAAGAAGATCTCAGATATTTACTATTAATACAAAATGATTCAATTTGTCTAAGACAACCAGTTAAATTAATGTATTTACTTTAATAATAGTTTACTAAAGTTATTTGCAATATATAGAATTAAAGTACAACCTTTTTATTCTTATTTAATAAAGTAATGTTTTAAAATCAATTTAGCAGATCTGATAATCTTAGTGTAGTAGTTAGATTTCCAGATCACTATATAAGAAGTCTGGAGTTTAAATCTCACTGTTAACAAATTTGAATAATTACTCAGACCTTTGTATCTAACTTACAGTAAACTCAGTTCATTTCTGAGGTTGTAGCTCTATAAATCATATTGTATCAATATCAATTGGATATTAGAAATGTAACAGAAAAGTTAGGTCTGATATAATATTATATGAATAAATCTTAATAGGATCTATAAGCAGAAAATCTGTATAATAAAAATCCTAAGTTAGATAATATAGTATAAATTTCAACAATTATGCTAGCTTGACACTTAATCCAGAAGAAGTCTAAAAATGAAGAATACAAACTGAGTAGATGCGAGTAAGTCTATAATATAACAGAAAAGTTAAGTATGATATAATATTATATGAATA